CCATGGGGCTGCAAAGAGTCAGACATGACTGAGTAACTGAACTGAACTGTCTGGACTGGCTAAGAATGAGCAAGTTTTGCTTTGCTTTTCAAACCCCAAAGTTTGCAGCTCATTTTTTTCCTCTTGCTTGTCTTTCTCCTCCATCATTTACTATGGACAGCTAGAAGAACCCAGATAGCACCCTCAATACTCTCTAGAAATCTCCTCAGGGAGATCACTCAGCCGATGAGATATACTTATTTTCCATGTTAATGCTTACTAACATCACTGTTAAACTTTCTTCTCCTATGTAACAGGAGTTACTTTTCTTCCAAATTCTAATAACATTTTCCTCATATTCCTTACCAACATTAGGCTCCTGCTAACAATCTCTTCAAGGCCTTTTTAACTTACACCTTACACCTGAAGCCCAGTCCCAAAGCTCATTACATGGTTTAAGCATTCTGTTATAGTACCAAATTCTTTTCAGGGCTCAATCAGAGAAAAAGACCAACTAGGAACCATACAGTTTGACCTTAGGTAATTATAGAAGCTGGGGAAGCCATCTGTGTAGGTCTGTTCCATCTGTGTCTGGTGCTGTGCCTACCCCAGAATTCGGAGATGCTCAAGCAATAGATCCACCAGAAGTGGGAGAAGCTACAGGCTTCGTGAAAAAAGTGACCTATCTTGTTCATTACTATGTCCCAAGTGCCTCAGTGCTACATGGTGTCAGCACCTCTCTAAGTCCCAAGAGTAGTGCTTGCACACTTGAGAGTTAACAAAAGCTGAAGATTTCTATTTAAACATCTATATGAAACTGCACAAAAGAAAAAATAACTACTTTTACTGAGCATTTATTACATATCAAGCAGTGTGCTACTTCTTTATGTAAGTGAACTGACTTAGTCCTTATAGAAGGCAGGGCTTGGTATTTTTTTTTTAAATCAGGAGCAAGACTAAGTCATTCCTGTTAAAAAAATTAATAAATTCAGCAGCCTTGTGTAAAAGCAATAATTTGTTTCAGTAAGCCGTATTAGTCACCCAAGTATACTGAAAGATAATCGTACACTTCTTCCTGGTCAGTATATTAACAAAGTTTTTTTTTTGTTTTGGGTCTGTATGTATATTTTCAGCAACCCCTGGGTCAGGATGATCCCTTGAAAGAGGAAATGGCAACCCACTCTAGTATTCTTGCCTAGAAAATTCCATGAACAGATGGGCCTAGAGGGCTACAGTCCATGGGTCGTAAAAAGTCAGACACAACTGAGCAGACATACATACCCACACTTACTTCAGAAGTCATTATTTTTCAGGTTTGTTAAAATCAGATTGTCCTAATCGACACATGAAGGTAAATTAACTATAACACACCATCAGAAGTTTTAAAAAAAGAAAACTCTTGGGTTCCATTCTTCAACTAACCAGAAGACTTAAGAATTCACCAAGGGTAATATAAATCAAAAGACAACCATTCTGTGAGCAAGAATTCTAAGTCACTATCTCATTTATTCTTAACAGTCTATTAGCCTAATGAAACTCCTAAAAGTCATATCCTATCCACTTAATTGATCTTAAAACTATTAACAAACCTTAAAGCACTTTATAATATATAGGCCTAGCAATGTGACTGAAGTGACTTAACAGCAGCAGCAGCAATGTGATAGACATTTTAATAGTGAGGTCCTTGCTTCTAAACACTTAAAAGACTAAGGGGAAATAATAACAATAATAATAAACAACTAAATGTAAATAACTATTATAAGTGTATAGCTACTAGAAAGTAACATGTATGAGCCGGGGTGCCTAACCTAGCCCCGATGGGAGAAGCCTGGGGAGCTTACCTAGGTCGGAGCTACTGAAGCTGAGACCAAGAGGAAAATAAACTAGGTGAAGCAAGCTGGACCCAACTTCAGTGTTAGTTCAAAGGCCTTGTAGGAAGGAACAAGGTGGGGTAATATAAAGGACTGCTGCTTCTGAAACTTAAGTTAAGGAAAGAATTAGGAATCCTGTAAGTTCTACTTTTCCACAAGATGGAGAAAGATATATTTCAAATAAGACTTAGAAAAATCAATGTATGTAAATACACAAGACAGGAAGAAAAAGCTCATTTGTTCAGTAAAAGTAAAAACAGTATGAAATTACAAATTAAATTTCAAAAAAAACCCCTGACCTATTGCCTCAGCTAGTTCCTAACAACTTCTTCCAAGACAATGTATTAACAAGTGTGTGCCAGCAGTAACTTGCACAGATTTCTTTCTTCCTGCTTCATTTTCTTACTCATGTGTATTCATTTTTCTCTAACATCCAAGAGTTTTGGATAGTCTTCTAATTTGCCCTTCATTATTTTAAAACAACAAAATAATATATATATATTAGAATCTCTATTATTTTCAATTATACATGAGGACAAAATAAAAACTAAATAAAATTCTAAAAAAGTTTTCTCTAGTTCTATATTCTAAAAGTATTAAAGAATAACAATTTGAACAATGCTGATTTAATTCATCTTTTATTTTTTCTTTTAGCAAACATTAGATAATATGAACAAAACTGTACTGTTCACTATAGTTACACATCCTTATTTGCTTTATATGTTATAAACATACTTAAGCAGATAAAATTCACTGAAGTAAATCAGACATATTCCAAAACTCTAACATATACTTTTCTAAGTCAGGACAAAAGAAAGCTTATCAGATCTCCCTAAAAGATCAGCATCACACAGCAAACTAAACTTGTACATGCTGCTTTTAACTTAACATGTGCCATTTTTCAGACTTTAATTTTAGGTTACAGCTAAAACAATTTTTATCTCAAGTTTTATGAAGGAACAGAAGCTGCAACATACAAATCCTGTCCATAACCATATTGGCCATTTAAAAATAAAAAATATACCTATAATCAAGAAAATTCTATTTACTCTGCTAGAAAAAAATAGCCAATAAGTTATTTTACAATACTTTAAATATAGTGGGAATTTACAATAACTAGATTTCACTGCATCTTATTTTATTGCTTAATGCTTCTCTTTTAATTTTAAAGTAACAGATTACCCACCACATCCCCCTTGCACAAAAAATCCAGATCCAGCATTACAAAACAAGCGGCCTTCAGAATTGATCAGCAGGCAGAATGGTTCTTAATCTGCAAGTGTTAATGCCTTCATGCACTACTTATCTGCTCAATAGTTCCCCACACTGTCGCCTGCTGAATACATAATACTGATACCCTGTTTTTATGTTATAAAACCCAGGTGTTACTTAGGTATTCCGTCGTGTCCAACTCTGTGACACCACAGACTATACAGCCCACCAGGCTCCTCTGTCCATGGAATTTTTCAGGCAAGATTACTGGAGTGGGTTGCCATTTCCCATTACAGGGGATCTTCCGACCCAGGGATGAAACACAGGTCTCCATATCTCCTGCATTGCAGGTGGATTCTTTACCACTGAGCCACTGGGGAAGCTCATAAAACCCAGTATTTACTTAGAAAAATTAGTTGCATTTATGGAGAAAAAATTCAAACTTTATATACACTTGATGTAAAATGTTACTAGTTACTTATCTGAGAAAAACAGATCAAACCAAAAAGGTCTCATTATCATAAAATCCCTTACATAACAAATTATCACACACATTTGTACATATGGGTGTACTATCTTCTTAAAATATTTTTATAAATAACCTAAAATCTGATTTGACAAATCATTCAACTGAAAAATACTGTACTGATTTTATTATACAGTCTTGACTCAACAGTGGCTTTCAGCTTTATCCATATATATATATAACATAAAAATTCCCAGATATTTGAAACAAATATTTTCAAATATGAGGAAAGATGAAATTAATAAGGCTAATAAAATAATAAGCAACAAAGACGTTCCCTGTAATTAGCCTCCAACTAATAAAATAAATGGGAAAAAAAAAGAGGGAAGGAATAAAAAAAAAAGACTTTCCCTAATCCTAGAGAATGAAGCAAAAAGAGAAACCTTATAAGACAAATTGGAAAAGAAGAAAAATTTGAAGTAACTTTGGCCTTGGACCCTCTTACATTGCTACTCCTTCAATTTGCACAAGTTAAAAGAATAACAGAAGCTAGTAACTATTTCTCAGTGGAAAAGGGAACAAGGAAAGCAAAGCAGCTGAGTAGTGATAGAGAAATTACAACAAAGAATATAAAAATTTATAGTTAAGATAATCAAGAAATGATGTAACACCATTCTGAGGTTGAGAAATAACAAGGAATAAGCAATGAATTACAAAAGCAATAATGTGCTGCATCTTTTAAAGTTATATACAAATAAAAGACTTATTTCGATTTTTATTAAAGCAACCTTCTTAGCTGCACTTTGATGGGGTTACAAAAATGTCACAGCATCAACCTAAAGGGGTGGTTTAGGGAGGGATGGGAGGGAGGTTCCAGAGGGAAGGGATATATGTATACTCAGGGCTGATTCATGTTGTTATATGGCAGAAACCAACACAACGTTGTAAAGCAATTATCCCCTAATTAAAAATAAATTTAAAAAAAAGTCACAACATTAATCCCATCAACAGCAATGTTACTGCAATCAAATTATTTATAAACATTAATTAAATTTGCTATCACCATCACATTATTGCAATGTCAAAGAGACTGAGTCATCTCACTTTCTCACGAAAAATTACATTGATATGGTTACTGAAAGCTTTCAGTAATGAGAAAAAAACTTTTTTTAACAACTTCAACATAGAATAGAATGTTCAGAATCTTATATTTAATAAAAATATCAACAATCAGGGTACCATCTTGGTCTATAAATGATATTCTCCACAAAGAACTTACAAGTGTTTTTAAAACACCATTAAGGGGACACTGGTTAAAGTTTCTCTCGGGCGCATTTTTTTAAAACCTATTAGTAGCTTTGCCATAAAACTGATTTAAGGTAGTTGTGTTTTTTCAGAAACACTGAGAATAATCCAATACTTGGTATTAATACTCAGATCAGCACACTGACATAAGAGCAACATTTTATAGACTAGCTGCAATTTTCAGTAGCTCTGTTCACCAACCGTGTAACAGAATTGTAGTGTTCTCCTAAGCCATATGCATGTCTCATATAACTGAAATGAAAAAAGGAGAAATAAGTAATTTAGACAAAAGTATTTCACTGTATATACATGTTTTATGTATCTAAAACCAAGTACTCTGAATTAATCACTTCACAGGGGTATCATTCAATAGACTTCATTACTTAAAACTTTAACACCATTTAAAAAGCATCACCAGTGAATAAAACATGGTTCAATAACTCTGCTGAGTTTGTCTGGTAAAACACAATCATTAGAGTGAAAAAAAAGACTGAGATGGCAAATTCTCCATACTGTGTTTCAGAGAACTCTCAATTATGTAAAATACTTTTACAATATAAAGGAAAAAAAAAATCTCTAAAGAATAAACAATAAGGCAGCATGAATGTATTTCAGCTTTTACACCTGCTGAAACTTTTAGCATTATTAATGTCAAACCAGAAAAACATGAAAAATAATCCTAAAATTTTGCAACCTTTAGAAATTACTTTATTCTTAACTCATACATAACAATAAATCACGAAAGGTTTAAACAATTATCTAAACCATGTATTTCGACAATGCTTTCTAATTCTGTAATTGCCTTTAACATGAAATAAGCATAATTAATGTTGCTGAAAATAGACTTGTTTTGATTAATCAACATACATAACTAAAATTTTTCATAATCCCTTTTGTCTTAATTATGAAAAATATTAACAGTAGGAATTTCTAGGTACTTACACAAGTATTAATGGATCTTCTGGATATTCTTCACCAACTACTATAGGAGGAGAATCTGCCTGTATTATCTCTATCGGTGTTCGTAAAATGTGAGACAGGGCTCTTAGCTATAAAAGACAAAATGGAAACTATATATATACATATATATATTTGTAAGAGAAATAGAGGTAAATCTTATTCACATCATAAACTTGATGAGCTGATGCATGAACAGGGCAACCAGTCAGAGCAGGGATCTACTTCTATTCCTTAATACACACCAAGAGTTCAGTAAAAGGCATGGAATGGAGGGTGCAAAACAAGCTCTGGAAATCTTAGCATCCCATCTAAGTCTTCAGAGAGCATACACAGAATTTCCCTTTAATAATTTAAATTTACTCCATTGTGAAAACGGCAACTCTTATTTCAAATGAATTTAAGAGAAAATGTCCTTCAAAAGATGTTTAAAGGTTTTTCTCAATTTAAAAAGAGTCCCTTATGTCCCTAGAACTCACACTGATTTGAGATTCTTATTAAAAGTTCAAGCATCTTTAATTACTCCTAATACTACGCGAAAGCTGTCGACCGTGTGGATCACAATAAACTGTGGGAAATTCTGAAAGAGATGGGAATACCAGATCACCTGACCTGCCTCTTGAGAAACCTGTTTACAGGTCAGGAAGCAACAGTTAGAACTGGACATGGAACAACAGACTGGTTCCAAATAGGAAAAGCAGTACGTCAGGGCTGTATATTGTCACCCTACTTATTTAACTTATATGCAGAGTACACCATGAGAAACGCTGGGCTGGAGGAAGCACAAGCTGGAATCAAGATTGCCGGGCGAAATATCAATAAACTCAGATATGCAGATGACACCACCCTTATGGCAGAGAGTGAAGAGGAACTAGAAAGCCTCTTGACGAAAGTGAAAGAGGACAGTTAAAAAGTTGGCTTGAAGCTCAACATTCAGAAAACTAAGATCATGGCATCTGGTCCCATGACTTCATGGGAAACAGATGGGGAAACAGTGGAAACAATGTCAGACTTTATTTTTTGGGCTCCAAAATCACTGCAGATGGTGACTGCAGCCATGAAATTAAAAGACGCTTACTCCTTGGAAGGAAAGTTATGACCAACCTAGACAGCATATTAAAAAGCAGAGACAACAGTTTGCCAACAAAGGTCCGTCTGGTCAAGGCTATGGTTTTTCCAGTGGTCATGTATGGATGTGAGAGTTGGACTGTGAAGAAAGCTGAGCACCGAAAAATTGATGCTTTTGAATTATGGTGTTGGAGAAGACTCTTGAGAGTCCCTTGGACTGCAAGGAGATCCAACCAGTCCATCCTAAAGGAGATCAGTCCTGGGTGCTCATTGGAAGGACTGATGCTGAAGCTGAAACTCCAGTACTTTGGCCACCTCATGTGAAGAGTTGACTCATTGGAAAAGACCCTGATGCTGGGAGGGGTTGGGGGCAGGAGGAGAAGGGGACGACAGAGGATGAGATGGTTGGATGGCATCACCGACCTGATGGACATGGGTTTGAGTAAACTCTGGGAGTTGGTGATGGACAGGGAGGCCTGGCGTGTTGCGATTCATGGGGTCGCAAAGAGTCGGACACGACTGAGCGACTGAACTGAACTGAATGTAGTCACAAAGCTAACCTTCCCAAGTTTCAAAGACCCAGGAGAGGCATGTAAATCATTAAGGCATATAAAACAAGTTCCCTCTGGTGACTAAGAGGTACAAATATAGCACTGCTAAGAAAAACACTTTGATGAAGCAATCATATCTTCAAACTTAATTCTTGAAGTGAAATACGCAGAGCCACAGACTATTTGAGATGGCCAATCATCATTACGCAGTAATATTAAGAACACTGCGAGATTCACCCATGTAGCGCTTCAGCTTCAAACTTCAATGCATATAGCCTTTGTCTTATTTAATATATACAAGTGGACTAGCACGTGCACATGGGGCTTTATTATCCTCATTCAATAATCAGGAAATGAGCTCAGGAGGTTGGCTGACTTCCCCAAAGTCAGAAAACCGAGAAGCAGGAGGCACCAGCCCCCAGACCCCCCTGTTACTCCCTGACTCGTAACACTCCAGGCTACCGCGTCACCACCCGGACACTCAGGTGTTTTATCTTCCTTTAATGAAACAAGATAACAGTAAGATACATAATTAGAGCTTTAAAAAAAATCATGATTAACTTCCTAAAAATGACTAAACATATTTTCTTGCAAGTAAGTTTTAATGCATTAAATACTGCTTTCAAATCAGCCAGTATCAACTAGGAACTCAAGACACAATTGTAATAGATGTGTTATGGTAGGATTTGACCTGTAATCTCACATTAAAATATTGTTTTCTATTTCTGATATTTTCCAATGTGATTTTCATCAGTTGAGCCACTTGGGTAATATTTTACTGTATTTGAGAAAATCTTCACTTTCATAAGTCCATAAACTCAAATATGTTGCCTGTAGCAAGATCACAAATGTAAATATGCAGACACAACACTGCCTTCACCAACTCACAAATCAAACACTGGACTATTTAAAATTAAATAGTGCTTCAGCTCCCAAAGGCACATAATTAAATTAAAGGCCTAAGAATATTAACTCCCTACATCAATGTTTTTTCAGTAGAGAAATAGCAAATATATAAAGAAAAGGAACTGTCAAAGAAAAATTTGGATCATCTGAAAAATATGTCTGAAAACTACAGAAGGGATTTAAAAATAATTTAACAATTTCACGATGAATAACAAACTTACCTCAAGTTGACCCCCCCATGCAGCTGTGTTTACAATATCATCACAGTACTTTCCAAACTCTTCTGTAGGAAACAGATCACAATACAGCACTTTTTAGAACTCATATTAGATACCTTTTATAACTCCCACAATGCCTGATGAAACTGCCCAAGTTATGAACTTCCTCCTTCTCCAGCTATATCCTCCAGAATTTAATCCATTCCCCAAATCCAAACTTAACTCACTCCAACTTTCCATCCAAGAGCAAAGCAATTCATCTCTGCTTCTCTCCCTCAACCTGAGGTCTAGCAATCTCAACTAAATTATAAGCCTACCTCTCTTGATCCAAGCACTGACCCCAAAACTGCCACCACATTCACAGTGTAAAATCCAAATCTGCATCTGAAAGAATATGCTAAAAGATTAAAAGACGCATCCTCTGTAAAACGGGCTTCACTATAAAACCCCAAAAGAAATGTGAGAAGAGAATAAAGTACAAGTGAGCTGAAACTCCTTTCCCAGTGACTCAAATAGTGCCTACATATTTTGGAAATGTTTATTTGTGTCAGTTCTAGCCAAAGAAAGGTCTTCCTGTATCAGTCTTGAGAGGAGATAAAAGACCTAACTGCAGAGTTTATAGTGGCATATCTTGAGCACACCCACTGATGTTACACAGAAAGTTAAAGTCAGAGAAAACACTAATACCCTTCCTGTTTAGAGGAAGAGGAAAAAAATTATGGGCATCTAGGAGAAAATACGTCCTGTATGCCTGTCTTATTCACTGTCTCATAGCCCCAGTGATGAGAACAGTACATCAGCACACTGCAGCCTTCAATAAACATTGACTAAAGGACGGGATAATTACATCTTTAGTCTTTTTCTCTGATTCACCAAACTGAGGTTATCACCTCCTCTCCCCTGCCCTACAACTAGCACAGCTGGGGACTTCATTAAACAAAAGTCAACCCTAACCTTCCCCTCTTCAATCCACCCTGACCATATGTGCATATTGCCACATCTGCAGTCTTATCTCAAAAACTTTCTCCCTTACTCCCCTTTTGCTTTCAGAAACTTTTTCAGATTTTTACTTGTTTCCTCCTTTATTTACAAGTTGTGCATTTTTTTTTACCTTCCCAACTATCAAAGTTACTATACAGAATAATAAGGCAGGTTTTGCAAAGTCAAATTCTGCCTGAATATTATGCCTTATTGAGAATAAAATTAAATCTTCCAAAATACAGGATAAAAGGAGGAATTAGTTTTCCCAACCATTCTCTACTGATCATCTTCAGGCCCGATATTTGCAGAGACTAGGCAAAGTTTAACTTTGTGAAATATGAACTTACTAACACACTTTTTAAACTAGTAATGTGAACCCTATTCCTATTTTTATCTTAAGATTAATATTTTTGACTACAAAGTAGTTAAGTACTTAGAAGATCTTGATAAACCAAAATGTGCTATCATCTACTAAAGTCATAGAAAATAATCTTGCCTAAATGTTGAGATTTTTCTCCCCCATGGGACTATTCAGGCTTTCCTTTTTTTCATTCTCAGTTCCAGAAATCACTTTACTTAATAACCATCACAGCTACAACAGCAACAAGACATAACAGAAAAAAATAAATTACCTGGAGTATACATTTCTCCGGTATTAGGATTTGTTAAAAATGGCAGAAAGTCTTCCACATGACTCTGCATATAGTTAGCAGTCTGACACCTTAAGGCAGCCACAGTCAGAACGCCGTTCTGCTCTTTCAGCTGATCTTCAATGGCTCTATACATACAGTGGCCATCAGATGGAATCTGTTTAATTTCCAACTGTCTGGCTGCCAATATTTGAGCAAGTTTTTCACTTTCTACATGTCTAGCTCCGGTTAAGTTTTCAATTTCAGCTTCGGCTATCCTTTCTTCCCGCTCCTTTTCCAACGCAGCCTTTTTGTCCTATGCAGACGGTAAAATGTAGGAAAATTAATTCCTAATAATTAGGACTCATTTACATTTATCATGGGGACAAAAACATAAGATTCTCCAAAACAATTTTCTCCCTTCTCCCACAAGCACTATCAGATAGATGATCTCATCACCTGAAGAATTTTCTATACTGTGAACTCTTCTAAAGACAACCAATATTTCTCATCTGTGTGTACCCAGCACCAAGCTCTGTCTTGGAACAAAACAAGGCTCTCAAATTTTTCTGTGAGGTGTGTTTGAAAACAACATGCCAAGTTTCTAAAAACTTGACTTACTGATTTCAAAGTGCTATGTTAGATTGAGTTGTCCTAGGCCTTAAAGTAACATCATTATCATACTTAAGTCCAAACTTTATAAGTTATCACCCCACCAGTGAGGTCTTAATGTGCTAAATGACCAGTTCATGAGCAAGGCATTAATTTGCTTAGGTCTTTAGAAGGGTAAAGGAGCTCTATTTATCCAGTATTTAAAAAAAAAAAAGTGCACATACAAACACACATACACATTCAGCTTAAGTAACAGATAAAAACATTCTTCTTTATTAAAAAGCTATTACAGATAATGCAAAGTCCCCTTTAAGGACCACTGCCAATCTCTCGGTGCCTGCTCAAGAGATCTGATATGCATCCTTCCAGATTTTTTTCCTGTGCATTTTAATAAATACAGATGTACTCATAGAAAATCTATAGAAAACAGTATTTTAACCAAAGTGCTATCATACATTACATTCTTCAACTTGCTTTCCTTCTATTCACATTTTCTAAGAAATCGTCCCATGCCAACATATGCAAAGATGGGATGGGGAGAAGGTAATGAGAGATTTATGACATGAAGGATGGATAGGAAGTAGACTGGAAAGGCTAGGGAAAAGAGAGAAAATCCCTGACACTTGGAATAACAAGGATGAAAGGACAGAAAGCGCTGTATGTCTCATTCGTGGCTGAACACAGTTCATAGAGCTAGAACACCAGAGAAAAGGATCAAGAGATGAGGTGGGAGGCAAAAAAGATGGTACATAGTTCTTAATATGAAAGTCTATGCATACATAGTTCAAAAAGCACTGGAAGGATATACATAAAATTGGGCTTTTCTCTGGATGGGAGGATTACAAAATAAGTTGTTTTGTGTGTGAGCTTGCATGTGTGTGTGTGTGAACATGTTTCTGAATCTCCATGGTATCTTTTAGGTACCACAGTATCCTCCCAAGTGGCTCAATGGTAAAATGTCAATGCAGGAGACGGGGTTCGATCCCTGGGTCGGGAAGATCCTTTGGAAGAGGAAATGGCAACCGATTCCAGTATCCTTGCCTGGGAAATTTCACAAACAGAGGAGCCTGGCAGGCTACAGTCCATGGGGTCACAAAGCCTCAGACACGACTGAGCACGCAGCACATGTGCTTGCCTGTGTGTGCAAACATCTCTCTAGTTGTCCATGGTATGTTTTATTCGTATGCTGAGAGCAAGTATTTTCAATTTAAGAGAATAAAAAGTTAAACTACATTCTATAAGTCTTGATGTACTGGTAACAAACTACAGTGAAGGATTTGGATAAACCAAGAAAAAGAAGATACAGGTAAAAATTTTTATATCCCCAGCTCCAACCTTTACTTAAGAGCAGAAAATATGAATGGAAAGGCAAATTTCAATTTCACTTAATGCCACCTGCTTCTACTATGTTCTTGTTATGTGCCATGCCAGATAAAGCTAGTGCTTTCTAAGTTACCTGAATCAAAAGCAGTATTATCTTAATAAACATAAACCAATTTAAGTTTTTTCTTTCCAACTCAAACCATGCCAAAAGTAACATGATACAATTTATTTCACTGCTTATCTACAACTCTGGATCACAGTGACATAAAACCTTAAAACACAAGATGGCACTATTACTTTTTAAAAGACTACAGAAAACATTTTTCAGAGGGGAGAGGAAGAATAAGCACCTTGAATATCATCTAATCCAAAACCCCTCATTTTCCTCTTCTGAGGAAACAGCATGAAGAAAGATTTCCAAAGGCCATACAGTTGGTTAGAAGCAGAGCAGGGACCAAGGACAGAGAACTCCTTCTATCCAGGCACCTGAATCAGAATAAAAGTTGGAGCAGATGGGAGCTGAAGTTAATGATGTCAAGAACTACTGGAAAACTGGGACTTTACACTATCTGTAAAACTTTAATTTAAACCTCTAAAATACTCATCCAAGAATTTCATTTTTTTTCCCCTCATGCTCTGCTTCAATATTACAAAGCAATTGTATTTCCTTTCCAGGACACTAGGTAGAAAACACATCGGATTGTTTTCCCAACCACGCAGTTTTCCAATGGCATGAGCAATTTCCCTTTTACAACCCTAGTCCTGGAGATAGAATGGCATCAATAAACTCTAATGAAAACGTACATAAGATGAAAATAGCACAATAGCACAATAACTCAAAAATACACTGCCAGTAAAACTAGAGTCATTTTGGTATAGCAACAGCAAAAACAAGTCTGAAGATAAATCTTAAGAGCTGGGAACTGGTGCAGAAGTTGCAAACTTTTGCCATGCCATTGAGACAACTTGAGCCCCAGCTTTCTCATTTATAATATAAAGAAACTGAAGGAGATCCCATTCCAGCTCTCAGATTTCACATTTTTGGAACCCAGTTCTAAGTTCTACTTCAGGCTGTTTCTACCATACCAGTGAGTTTTCCCTGAAGCTCTCTGAAATAAATAAAATACTTCCTATGCTTTTCTAGATTAAAAATATGGGATCTGCTCTAAAATATTCCAGTAATGAAACTTCATAAAGTTTTGTCATGTTTTTCTACCAGACAGTTGTATCTCTCCCAAAGACAAACATCATTAGTTAACTGACTTTTCATTCCTTGGTGCCTCTGGGCCAGCAGGGGTGGGAGGCGGGGTGGGAAATTGTTCAAGATAAGTCTAAGACCCAATTATCTACCCTTGTGTTTAGGTCCCATTTTCTTAAATACTATAAACTCAGTGTTTTCAGTTCCAAAATCCTGTTAACATAACAAAGCAATAAGAAACTTTGGGCATTACTTACAAGGGTGTTTTCTCTGCCAAGTGTTGACTTGGCAGAGAAGTGTTGCCAATCTACTGACTATAAAAATATACATTTTTTGACAGTATAGCTGGAAAAAAGTATGATTTCAGCTATGGAATATTTTAGGAGAAAAGTAACAAAATGTTTAAGAAAGGTTAAGTTTGTTCTGGTGCCTAAGGGACAAGGTAGAGTGAACAAGTTTTGACAGACATAGAGGAGTTGTGTCCTTTTCTAGAATTAAATAGTTGCTACTCTAAGATACAAGGGCTTCCCTGGGGGCTCAGATGGTAAAGCATCTGTCTGCAATGCAGGAGACCTGGGTTCAATCCCTGGGAGGGGAAAATTCCCTGGAGAAGGAAATGGCAACCCACTCCAGTGTTTTTGCCTGGAAAATCCCATGGACAAAGGAGCCTTGCAGGCTACAGTCCATGGGACTGCAAAGAGTCGGACATGACTGAGTAACTTCACTCTAAAATACATGGGCTTCCCAGGTGACACTAGCGGTAAAGAATCTACCTGCCAGTGCAGCAGACTCAAGGAACACCAGTTCAATACCTGGATCAGGAAGATCCCCTGGAGAAGGAAATGGCAACCCATTCCAGTATTCTTGCCTGGGAAATCCCAGAGGAGCCTGGAAGACTACAGTCCATGGTGTTGCAAAGAGTTGGACACAACAATGAGCACACACACTCTAAGGTATACACTATATACTACTATACACTAAGCAGAGTCAATTCCAACAACTATTTTGTTATGCAAAATTTCTGCCCTTGACTTCTGACCTATAGAAAATAGATGACAATTATAAGACTATAACAGAAAGAACACATATCGTGAGTAGAGAGCTGGTGAACTAGATAATCTCTAAGATACCATAAAACCTAAATTTCATGAGTCTATGAAATTCACAATTATAATAATTACTCAAGAATAAAATTTTACATTAGTATAAGAAATGCTTGACAATTTGCAACTTAAGCAACTTTCAAACAAATTGTCTTAGGTTGAATTTCTTAAGCGGTGTACTATGCAGTACTTAAACACAGTGAACAATAGTATCATTTGTTGACCAAGCAGTTCTTTAGGCCTTGTATTAGGGGTTTGGAAACAGTAAATTATTTAACATTCACAATAACTCTATGAAGTATTATTTTCCCCTATTCTATACATGGGCTTCCTTGGTGGCTCAGATGGTAAAGAATCTGCCTGCAATGCTGGAGACCCGGGTTCAATTCTTGGGTCAGGAAGATCCCCTAGAGAAAGGAATGTCAACCCACTCTGGACTTCTTGCCTTTAGAATTCCATGGACAGAGAAGTCTGGTGGGCTACAGGCCAAAGGGTCTCAAAGAGTCCAAGGGGTCAGACACAGCTGAGCAACTAACACTTCCACTGTCATTTCATACATGTGAAACTAAGATTTAAAAAGGTTGAGAATCTTATCCAAAGCCACCACAGTGGGATTAAAATCTCCACCTGACTGACACCAATTCCATGCTTTATTAAATGTATGTACTAAATTATATTTACTAAAAAAAAAAATAAAAATAAAAAAATACAAAAAAATTATATTTACTACTAAATTATAAGATACAAGCTAGTTTAAAAATAAACATTTAAATCGTAGAAAACATTTGTTAATAAAACAATATTTGAGAATAAAAAGACTGGATTTAAACTTCTTGTTCTTTTTCAAAGTGAAAAGCCCTTTCCTATCTAATCACATTCCCATAATTTTGATGTCATAAACTTATTACGTCCAATAAATCAGTTTCCTCATAGCTCTTTGATGCAAAATTTCATTCTCACATTTGTTTTTGTGCAAGCTGTCTCACTTACTCCAAATAGCCTAACTAAATAACTATATTTTCTTAAAATACCAACTATTTAACACTTAGCACAGTGAATTTTTCCTTCTCTAAATTTTCATTACAACTAACCAATACATATATAACTACATAATTCTGTTAATTTTGTGTACCTATATATCTTAACTTCTAGGTTCAAATTCCTCTTTTACCACTTAATACCATAGTTTTTAACCAAAGCTGTACATCAGAATCACCTGGACTCACACTCTTCAGAGTCTAAATTAAGTCTGGAATAATATATTTGTAAAAAATATCCTTTGCACACCCTCTTTCCTAGATCCACCTTCCTATGAGAACTGCAGACTGGACATAGGCCTATTTTCTCATCTATAAAATAAGGACAAGAAATCCTACTTCACAGGATTACTGTCAAGACTAAATAAGATTTCATATAATCTAAAGCCTAATAAATGTTAGTTTAGGTCCTTTGGCAAGGGAACTCCCTTTTTTTTTTTTTTTTGTATTCCCTTCCAATACAACACCTAAGACAGAATTACGCACATAGCACTAACAAATACTAGGTGACTTTCATACCCGTCTCTTTTGTGCTTTTGATATCCGAAGTGGCTGATTCTCAAGAACCAAGTTTGAAATATTAACAGCAACAGAATCTATCTAAAGGAAACAAAAAACATTACCAAGTTAAGGAAAAATACCTTTAAGTTATTATTCAAAGTATCAGATTATTAAATTACTATTGCAAGTCACATATTACATGTCATTCCACAATTCAAATCTGAATAACAGCACTAGATACAATACTAAATGACATGGTTGTATCTACTTTCTCTATATTTTAGGGAGAATCTGTCAGGTTCCCAGGAACTTTCCTTACAGCTCTACAAAAACAAAGCTCATGTCTGTATGGTTTCCTTCCTTTTCAGAACGCCTACTCCATTCCTCTAAATACTTCCTACAAGTGCCATTCATTCAGCGCGCCACCCTTCCCGTCTCTAAATGTTTCACTTTATAGAATACATAAGATCCTGTGTTGGCCCAGTTTATACTACTTTCATAACCTCAAAAGTGGGGGCAAAGGCCTTCCTCCATCATAATTAGCCAGAACCTGATGAGCACTGTTTCTTGACCTTAGCAGAAATTTGCTATATTATCATTAAGACATTATAACCAGTCTTAATCATCAAATGACTGTTACGTGTTTGCTGAAGAAAAAAGATGTTAGACTTATTTACTATCAGGATTAACAGCTAGTATTTTATTACCACAACTATATATTAAGCTAGTTTTTAGGTGACACATACATGAAACATATCAAAGCCTCTGATAACAAGAGTCAGCAGTCTCTAAGGCTTTGGCCCAAATAATCAAAATGTCAAAATAAGATTAAGACTTCAAAGAGTGGTTATCAACTTTAGCGAAATAGGATTCTTATATTTTTTCAGAGGAATGTGCTAAAATTTACAAACTGCCATACTGACAACAGGCAAGATACAAAGAAACAACTAGGGGAAAAAAGAGAAAGAAATGACAAAAGAATTCAGGTGACATTCTGGAAGAAAACAAGTTTCAGTTAAAATTTTAAAAGATAATAGTTCAAAGTATGAGAAGAGTTTGTATTTTAACAGTTGGACAATATGTAGAAACAACTTTGACCTTGAAAACCAAGGAAAGAAATCTCACAACTGAAGGGCCTGAGAGACTAAACTATCTCACTAACAGAAAAGATAGGGAGATAATTAGGAATGCCATGACTCTAACAATACAAACACCTGGAAGCATGCCTTGTTACTTGGATTTCAATAAATATGTTAAAGGCAAGGAAGGCCAGGATCTTGATGAATGGCAAAAGAACTTCAAGAAAATAAAACTATGTTTAATACCTATAAATTAGTATAAACAAGCTATTTTCTCTGTCAACAGCAGACCAAAAATAAACCAAGTAAAATAAAATTTATTTATGGTAGATAAAATCTTGCATAGATATAAGAACTTTCCAACTATCAAAAATGAGAGTGAGGTTAGGGAGTCTATGGTCTTTGACATCTAAAATCCATGAAATAAGCTATCACTTTAGATAAAAATTATAACAGAATTCAGCATTCACCTTTTGGAGTAAGACAGCTCTAATTTGAATTCAGGCTTTGGTACTCAATGGTTGTTATAAATTTAGAATGAAGTTTTTAATCTCTCTGAGTCTGTTTCCCATTTTAAAAATGGGATTATCTACACTTCAGAGGTAACACTGACTAGTTATTGTGAGAATTATTTGAGAAAATGAATAATATGTTAAACAAAGTATGTGGCATACAAAACATTGTGTGCAACTACAATGATCAAATAAATATTAGCTAAACTGATGACAGTTAACATGCTCCAATTTACCCAAGAAACATCAGTAAATTTCTATTTAATACAACTTGCTCATAAAGCATTTTCATAACTTAAAAAATGTTTTCACATTTATTCTATTTCTTAGAAAAATCTTGTGCTTAAACAGTAGTATTTGTATCATATATGTGAAGAAATTGATGCTCGAGAAGATCAAGTAAATGTGCCCAGGTTCAAATCCTATTTAATAGCAATTCTGATACTAAGAAACTGGTCTTCCACTTTCTTTTGGTAAAGCTTCCTCTAGCCCATTTTATCAATCTGTTCATCTCTGGGGCATTAGACTTTCTTTGCTGACCTTCCTTAAAAAACACTCTACCATGTAAATCTGATCAGAAAAATAACAATGAAAAGTGACACCTGAGCATGACTAAGTTCCCTCTTTCCCTCCAGTTTTACGATTTTATATAGTTCACTGTGTTACAGAAGTGGACAACTGCTTTCAGATGCTGTAGACAAGGAGAAACATTACTTTCACATACTTTACTCTCTTTGGAAGTCAGCTTCAACTGATCCAGCTCCTCTCTATGTTTCTGTTCCATTTCTGCTTCTAACTTAGCAACATCTTCTGTAAGTTGCTTCCTCCTCTTTTTGTCATTCCTGGGAACAGCATTCTTCATACTCTGTATTTTGGCTGAAAAGCCACCAAAATCATTACGTCAAAAACCCAGGGATTAAGAGGAAATAAGAAATAATAGCAATAAGAAGATGGTAAGAAGAAAAGGGTATAGGAAGAAAGTAATTATGAAAGCAAAAAGAGAAATTACAAAACAGACAGTTACAGAGAAGAGTCCAGATGAAGCTAAGACCCTCTCTCAAAAAAATAATAATAACATAACCGTGAGTTTGGTGTGGGATGAGGAAAAGGGCGGGGGGGGGGGGGGAAGAGACTTAAATGTTTAAATCTTTCAACTATCCTTTCCGAGTCCTTAAAACTGAGGTGAGATATTTCAAAACGCACCCATTAGGGCCAAGTGTCGGTCAACTAGGGCAGGAACAGCAAAGGGGGGCCTGGGTCCAAGACGGCGGCTTCCAAGGGTTTTCAGAAACCCGCACCCCGGGGGCCTCGCAGGAAGGGGGTTACGCGGCGCATCCGAAAAGAGGAAGCTTTTGAAGGTCGAGGGGATTTAGGGGGCTTGGAGATGCAGGTCACTGGCAACCCTGAAGAAGCCTAGGATTCAGAAGTCCCTCAACGTTCCCCAGAACCGACCCGCCACGCTCCCTTCCCTGGGTCCTGGCGACTCCTGGGTTCCCACTCCCCCGTCACCTTGCAGCTCCTTCTTCTCTTTGCGATGCCGTCTCACCAGCTGTTCCTCTTCATCAAGCTCCTCAGTCAAGACTGCCTCCATGACAGGTAGGGAACCCAGCACACGCGCTGGGGAGAATCAGCGCCACGGCCTAGCGCCACCTTCCACCTTTCAACCTTCACCCCGCGCGCCATTGGCCGCGACTGGCATCCAGCCCCGCCTTAAGGCGGTACCGGATCGGAAGTCAAAGGGCTGCGCGTGCGCACTCCTTTGACCCGCGCTGATAGGGCGGGGCGGCGGGGTGGAGCGCGTCGGCCGGTTGTGGGTGTGGCTCCGTCGGCTGAAGTTCGCGTGTGAGCGCTAGTCTATTGGCCCTGACTTGAGCCGTGCAGAGATGACGAAGCTTGAGGCGTGCAGAGATGACGAAGCTTGAGGCGTGCAGAGATGACGTAGGGGGAACCGTTTCGGACGTTTGTTTTGTTCGTTAATCGGAACATTTTTCTGTTTTGGTCCCATTGCTCAGAAAGGTTGTTCAAAAGCTAAGAAAGAAAAACCATTTCAACAAAACCTTGAGTATTCTCTTTGGGAATCTTTGTGTTGATTCAGTCAAACAGTAGGGAATTAAGTTCTTTTTCTTATTTTCAAGGTCCTGATACTGCAGGTCCGAAGGAAAACAGCTAATTGAGAAAATGCCGCCTCTTGAAACGAATATAGCGGTGGAAACAGAAGAGATAGCAAGGATTAAGTATCATATCGCACCAGAGCTTAAGGACCTATGCTTAATGATAAAAAGTGCTGTTGTCGGAGCACTTGCAAAGTGTGAGGGAGCTGAGAGAACAGAAATGTTCAAGTCTGATGGGGCACAAAATCGAATTACTGAAGTGAACGCAAAACGAGAAATTTTCACAGCATGCAGGAAAAAAAAAAAAACAGAAAAAGAAATCAAGTAAAGAGAAGAAGGAAGACCTCGATGGCCTGTGGTAAAATCTACGCATAATAGGAATACCTGAAACAGAGGACAAAGCAAATGAAGCTGAAACTGTAATTAAGGAACTAACTGAAGAAAAATGTTCAGAGTTAAAAAAGAAACTACATCTAGAAGTAGAAAAGGCTTGCACGGTACCATTAAGTGAAAAGAAAGCAGTACCTAGATATATCCTGCTAGTATTTTTACATTGGAAGGGTAAAGAAAAAAAGTCCACAAGTATCCCAGAGAAGACAAGCCACTTATAAAGGGATGAAAGTCAGCCTGACCTCAGATTTTTCCCTTGCATCTGTAAATGCCAGAAAACAATACCTACAGTTTCTGCTCAGAGGCTCAGTCTTATCCTGCTCTTTACGACCCCGTGGACTATCAGGCTCCTCTGACCGTGGGATTCTCCCAGCAGGAATAGTGGAGTGAGGTGCCATTTTCTCCTCCAGGGGTCTTCCCCACCCCAGGATGGAACAGGTGTCTCTTTTCCCTCATTCATTGGCAGGCGGATTCTTTACCACCTGGGAAGCCCATCTACGGTTTTAAGGGAGAATAGTTTTGAACCAATTAGATATCCTGACAAGTTATTTCTGTACCAAGGCAACTGGAAGCATTCACAGATATGCAGAGGCTGAGAAAGTGTATCTTTTAAGTACTGCCCTTGAAAACTTTGTTAAATGATGTACTGCAGCCAACAAAAAACATGGATTAAAATAATAAGAGTAAGGAGGCAATAGTATAAAAAAATTGGTGGTAAGGTTTAGTTAAACAGCCTTAAGTTTACAGTGTTAGGTAGAATTATAAAACTAAATGCAAACATAAATATGTGAACTGGGTCTAAAATTTCAGCTTATGTCTTTATAAGCTTAAAAGGCATGCTAAATGTTCAATATGTAAAACAAAAACATACTGCTTTATTTTTAGCATGTAAAGATATGCATGTTCTTAAGTTAAACATGTAAAATAAAAGGACTTTGTCACTGTGGACAGAACCTGTAGAATAAAGGCATATCAAATGTTAACCTGAGAAAATGGGAAAACCAATAGTACAGTTTTGTTTCCTCTAGTTTTAGTTATAGAAGGGGGAAAGTAGCAAACTTGTAATGCTAATACTAGTAATGTGAAAAGAAAATTTATAAATTATTGACTGGTGTGGTAGTGGATTGAAACCTTGTTTAAAGTACATCTTGCCTGTGGAAAATCAGTACCTACTGCTTTATGTAGTAGATCATTGTAGGTAAATTTGACAATAAATGTTACAAATAGAGAGTACATATTCAAATTGTAGGGGAAGTGGTGAAAAAGAGCAAGGAAGCATTAAAATTGGCAGAAGATAGATTGATACAGGTACTGCTGAGTTACCACACTCAAACTGGTTAACTGTTCCTATTTTACAAGATTGAAACTGGGTCAAAAATCAATCTATAACCCTGGATACTCAAATTTGTAGAAAACCGTAAGAGTTTAAAGATAATGAAAACAATAAGTCATAGAAATGCAAGTAGGGAGCAATATTTTTATTAGACAACTCAAGCTATAACATATTTATAAAATATACAGTACAGGTTGTAATATTTAGGATGCTTTGTGTGGTAGATAACATGGCATTCATTGTAAAATAAATGTTCAATACCTTCCTATGAGTGATAGTTTTACTGATGTATACATGTTTTTAAAAATTGTACATTTAAAATTAGTGCACTTTATGTGCTTAGTATTAATAAAATAATCCTTTAAAGAAAATACATATCACAAAAACTGTTGGACTGTGACTTCAATACTTAAACCATTTAGTAAGCCAAATAAATGAAAAGTTGAGATAATTAAGAAGTAAACAGAGGTGTGTGTGCATTCAGATTATTTTCAAATTGTCCTGAAAGATTTCTTAAGTAATCTTATACTTGGGTGCAGAGAAAACTTTAATATATTTCTAGAAATCGCAAATGATCACATTGCAAAAAAGCCTAAGAGCTAAGTTAAATGCTGAAAAATAACATTTAAAAATTCTTACTGTTATGAAATAGATTATAATAAATGCTGATAATTTAGAAACTGCAACAATAAGGACATTATGAGTTGTATATTATGGGGTGGATGTACAAAAGGCAGGAGGCTAGGAAGGAGAATACTAGATGAAGAATGGCATATGCACCTAGGAAAGACCTAGTTACTGAACTTTCTAGATTTTGCTACCTTCCAATTCTAAGAAGTGGATTTACTTCAATATAAATTATTCTAACTGCCACAGTTCTTGTTCAGTTGCAACACCATGGACTGCAGCACACTAGGTTTCCCTGTCCTTCACTATCTCCAGGAGTTTGCTCAAACTCACGTCCTTCGAGTCACTGAGTTCATCCAGTCATCTCATCCTCTGTAGCCCCCCTTCTCCTCCTGCCTTCAATCTTTCCCAACATCAGGGTCTTTTCCAAGGTTCTAAACATCAGGTGGCCAAAGCCCCCTTCTCCTCCTGCCTTCAGTCTTTCCCAGCATCAGGGTCTTTTCCAGGTTCTTCGCATCAGCTAGCCAAAGTATCGGAGTTTCAGCTCCAGTGGCAGTTCTTCCAATGAATATTCAGGACTGATTTCCTTTAGGATGGACTGGTTTGATCTTGCAGTCCAAGGGACTCTCAAGAGTCTTCAGCTCCACAATTCAAAAGCATCCATTTTTTCAGTGCTCAAAACTTTTATGGTCCAATGCTCACATTCTGTAATGACTACCGGAAAAACCATAGTGGCAAATTTTTAACATAATAACTGAATTTTACCATAATGAATTCTAAGGACTTAACAGCTGACTCTTTAAAGAGAGAGAAGCTAAATTCTCAACTCTCATCACCAACTACTACCCCTCTCCCCGTCACTGTTTTGTTATTCCTTTCTCAGACATCTATATAATTCTTCTTGCTCTAAAATCTTTATAAGTAACATCCTCAGAAAAGCATCATGAGCACTACCTGGGAGCTTGTGAGAAATGTATGTCAAGGTAACAGTGGCACAGATTATATTATAAAATGTATTATTAAGCATCTATAAGCCTTCTCAGTTCACACAGTGCATTGTACATTATGAATAATAAGTGTTAAACAGTATTAGAATCTAAAAATAGGTTTGCTCAAGCAGTGTTATTGTATGAGAGATTCTGTGATTGAACTGTAAGGTATTGCAGCATCCCTCTTTAAATCAATGATTTGGTCTCATTTTCTAAATATTTCAGGTGAGAACTAGTGCTTCTGTTTTTCTTTGTGAAGATGGAACACAAGGAAAACCAGATTGAACAATCCAAATTTTTAAATGTTGAAGGAGTACAACTTAAAATGGTAGAAAGACAATTTCCCTATGGTCCAGTGGTTAAGAATCCACCTTCCAATGCAGGGGACCTGGGTTTGGTTACTGATCATGGAACTAAGATCCCACATGCCACAACTTCTGAGCATGCATGCTCAGTCAGCCCACACACAAGAGAAGCCCTAAGAGAATATTTGCACTGCACTGCAACAGGAGAAGCCTCCACAACGCAACAAAGACCCCAAACAGCCAAAAAATGTAGTGAATAACCATGAAGTAGATTTAAATCAGATATTTCAAGGTTTCTGAATAAAATCAAAGATCCACTTACAGCAGCTATATATAATTGATAACAGGTAGATAAGAGCATTGGCAATAATTGTAATGGTAGCTTTAGTAAGTTACAGTACTTTTTTGATCCGTGAATGATCTACTCCCCTGAAGGTGATATAACAGCTTTCTATTAGCAAGGGAAAACCAGACCAGTGATGCTCAAATTTAAATACGCAAGCCAGTTGCCTGGGAATATCATACTAAGACGCAAATGTTGATTCACTAAGTTTAGGGTAAAGAGATTTCTTGCAAATCTCAACTGGCATGGGGTGTTGTTGCTGCCACTTTGAGTACCTACCACACTTTCAAGTAGAAAAATAAAATCTGTGTTGTATCTACTGTCTGTGAAAAGGAGGCTCAAAAAAGGTAATTGGCTTAAGACCACATAGTAACAACCAAATCTGATCTCAAGGTCAGTTTATACCATCTATATATACAATCCTGTCTTCATCCATACTACAACACCTATGTAGAAGATTGTTGTGAGGAAAAAATAATAATGAATAAAGCTC